TTCAATAAAGGTCACTGTAATATCTTTCAGAGTTATTGTCTGAATCCCGATATACATGGTAAAAGGTACCACTTCCTTAAGTTCTGTCTATGAGTGTGTCTTCAATAAAGGTCACTGTAATATCTTTCATAGTTATTGTCTGAATCCCGATATACATGTTAAAAGGTACAACTTCCTTAAGTTCTGTCTATGAGTGTGTCTTCAATAAAGGTCACTGTAATATCTTACAGAGTTATTGTCTCAATCCCAATATACATGCTAAAAGGTACAAATTCCTTAAGTTTTGTCCATGAGTGTGTCTTCAATAAAGGTCACTGTAATATCTTTCAGAGTTATTGTTTTAATCCTGATATACATGTAAAAAGGTGCAAATTCCTTGAGTTTTGTACATGAGTGTGTCTTCAATAAAGGTCACTGTAATATCTTTCAGAGTTATTGTCTTAATCCTGATATACATGTAAAAAGGTACAAATTCCTTGAGTTTTGTACATGAGTGTGTCTTCAATAAAGGTCACTGTAATATCTTTCAGAGTTATCGTCTCAATCCCAATATACATGCTAAAAGGTACAATTTCCTTAAGTTTTGTCCATGAGTGTATATAGTGTGTCTTCAATAAAGGTCACTGTAATATCTTTCAGAGTTATTGTCTGAATCCCGATATACATGGTAAAAGGTACAATTTCCTTAAGTTTTGTTCATGAGTGTATATAGTGTGTCTTCAATAAAGGTCACTGTAATATATTTCAGAGTTATTGTCTTAATTCCAATATACATGCTAAAAGGTATAACTTCCTTAAGTTCTGTCCATGAATGTACATCTACTCTAACAAATAACTGAAAAATTAGAAATAAGTTTTAATTATATTAAAAAAGAAAAAAGTATCGCGCCAAAGATAGAGGGCTCTAAATTGATGATGATATTATAACAAAAGATATCCAGAACTTTCTATGTTTACAAGTCACAGAGTTATCAACAATTATTTATTTATATTTAGAAAAAAGAATTCTCTTCATATAAAAGGGCGTACCTGGATCTGTAAAGAGAAAAAAAAAAACAAATTTTTTTCTCAAAATATTTCGAGAGATTGCTCCCTCTTTATCAATTTATTGCTTATTATTTATAAATTGATAAAGAGGGAGCAATCTCTCGAAATATTTTGAGAAAAAAATTTTTTTTTCTCTTTACAGATCCAGGTACGCCCTTTTATATAATCTTAATTAATGGATCGCCTTTTGACTCAAAGAATTCTCTGTCAAATATTAGAATATATATTTTGCATATTTTTTTGATTTGCATATTTCAGATTAATATAAAGCATTATAAAGCAATTTTTAAAATATAACACAAATTAAAACAAAACATACGACTACATAAGTATAAATACAATTTAT